CCCGCCACCGCACCGCACGCACCGCCACGCACCGCACCGCCCACCGCACCGCACCGCACCGCCCACCGCCCGCATAGACTTCCTCATGGGTAGAGACGCCGGTTGGCATGCCCAAGTAGACCACAACACATCTTTGCTGCTCTGCATCACACTGCCGCACTATCACATATCACACCAAAGCACACCGCACCCCTATCACACTGCACTGCACTGCACCTCTATCACACCAAAGCACACTGCACCGCACCACACCGCACCACACCGCATCGCACGCACCCTTCCACGACCACTCTCACGCGTCTTCCCCCCTTTTTCTCCCTACCTCCCACCCGCGCGCGTCCACGAGACGACAACCACCTGACGCGCGCACGTGCGCGTTCCCTTGGCAGGACGCCAAGTACCTGTTCCGGCTGTACATGGCGCTGCAGCAGTACAGGGAGGCGGCGCGCACCGCCATCATCATCGCTCGTGAGGAGCAGTACAACGGCAACTACCGCAGCGCACACGACGTGCTCTACAGCATGTACCGCGAGCTGCGTCTGCACGGCATCACCGTCTCCACGGAGATGGCGAGCAACCTGATGGTGCTGCACAGCTACATACTCGTCAAGGTGACAACGCCATCTGTTGGCACGCGCTGGTACTGTGTAGAGTGGATGATCTGGTTTCAAGTAGTTAGTAGATCTATGCGAGTTATATTTATAGTTATAGTTATAGTTATTAGTTATAGTTATAGTTATTAGTTATGAGTTATAGTTATTAGGTGTGTAAGTAGGAAAAATCCAGTTCATGAAGTTATAGGAAATAGGAATTGGGTGCGTAAATGGGAATTCCTTGAAAAGAAATAAATGCTGTGTAAATACCTAATGAAGAGGAAATACATGGAGATTAAATAGTTACCAAATAGGAAATATGTGCAGTTTAAATTGTTAATAATAAGGTAATAGGTACAATTTTAAATTGTTAATAAATTTAAAAAATAGACGAGGTTTAAAATAAATAATAAAAAGGAAATAGGTGCAAATAAATTGTAAAATAAGTTTTGTCGTAATTTGTACGCCATATTTACGGCTCTCTGCAGATCCACGTGAAGAGAGGAGATCATATGAAGGCAGCTCGTCTGTTGATCCGGGTTGCCAACAACATCAGCAAGTTTCCCGCACGTACGTATCATGATAGCATCGCAGCCAATCTACCCACCAATCACTAGTCATAACACCAGGAGTCTGTCAATAACAGGAGTCTCATAACACGTACTCGATCTCTGTAAACCATTAGGGAAAGACTGATCGAGGCTATCGC